GATTTCAGAGAGGAAGGGAGAAGGAGAGAGAGATAGAAACATCAATGATGAGAGAGAATCATTGATCGGCTGCCTCCTGCACATCCCACACTGGGAATTGAGCCCGAAACCCAGGCATGTGCCCCCACTGGGAATCGAACCATGGCCTTCTGGTTCATAGGTTGATGCTCAACCACTGAGCTATGCCGGCCAGGCTTTTTAATTCTGTTTGGTTAATCCTCATCCGAGGATATTTTTCTCATTGGTTTTTTTGTTTGTTTGTTTTGTTTTATATTGGTTTTTTTAGAGAGAGAGTGGAAGAAAGGCGGGGAGAGATAGAGATATTGATGTCAGAGAGACACATTGATTGGTTGCCTCCTGCACTCTCTCCAATCAGGGCGAGTATCAAGCCTGCAGCCAAAGTACTTGCCCTTAAGCAGAATTGAACCCTCGACCCTCCAAGGGCCAATGCTCTACCACTGATCCAAGCCAGCCAGGGCATGAATTATATTTTTAGTTATTGATTTTATTAAATTTATTGGGGTGACTGTGGTTAACAAGATTATATAGGTTTCAAGTGTACATTTCTATGATATAAGACCTGTATATTGCACTTGTGTGTCCACCACCCAAAGCCAAACCATCTGTTGTCAACATATATTAGGCCCCCATTACTCCCACCGCTTTCTGGCAACCACCACACTGCTGTCTGTCTATAAGTTTCAGTTGTATATCTCACATATGAGTGAAATCATATGGTTCTTGGCTTTTTCTGACTAATTTCCCTAGCATAATATTCTCAAGTTCCATCCATGTTGTCCCAAATGGCAGTATTTCGTCAATCCTGTATCGCAGACACTTTGGTGGTTTCCATGTCTTGGCCACCGTGAATAATGCTGCAATGAACACAGGGATGCATATGTCTTTACATGTTTTTGAGTTTTTCGGGTAGATACCCAAGAGAGGGATTGCTGGGTCATATAGTAACTCTTAATTTTTTGAGGAACCACCAGACTGTTTTCCATAGTGGCTGTACCATTCTACACTCCCACCAGCAGTGAATGAGGGTTCCCTTTTCTCCACAGCCTCTCCAACACTTGTTATTACTTGTCTTGTTGATAATAGTAATTCTAACAGGTGTGAGTGGTATGGTATCTCATAGTTTTTTGTTTATGTTAATCCTTACATGATTTTTTTTCTCATTGCTTTTTAGAGAGAGTGGAAGGGAGGGGGAGAAAGAGAGAGAAACATAGATGTGAGAGAGACACATCAACTAGTTGCCTCTCACGCCCCAATGGGGGCGAGGGGGGGGGGAGTGAACCTTCTACTTGGGTACATGCCCTTAATCCGGAATCAAACTTGAGACCCTTTGGTGTATGGGCCAACACTCTAACCATTTAATCACAACAGGCAGGGCTCTCATTGTAGTTTTGATTTGCATTTCTCTAATAGCTAGTGAGATTGAACATTTTTTCATATATCTGTTGGCCTTTTGTTTCTCTTCTTGCTCACTCTATTTTTTCATTGTCATTTATTTGTTGAGACTGGTCATTTGTCCTAACCTTTCCACATTCTAAATTTGATTGATTGCATCTTTGAGGTGTCCCTTTAACTTTCCTCCATATTTCCTGGAAACTTGTAGTTAGATCTAAAGACTGGGTTAGTTTCAGGTAAGTTTTCTTTCGACAAGGTGATGTGTACTTCCTATTATTTCCTATTTATGTCAGCAAGCATTATTGTCAGAGTTTACCCCTTAATAGTAATATTAAGATTGAGCTAGTCATGTTGTGAGCCTGATTAGTCTATTATAAAGTTCCTTACTGTGATACTGTGATTTATAATAAATGAATAGTTGGTCTTTGTCTAGTTTATGGCACAGAGCTCCTGAAATCCTTGGAATTTCTTAAGTGATAGTAGTGGTAAAGATGTCATTTGTATGTCTTTTGTTATGTTAATGAGGTGACTTTGGACCCACCTTAGGATGGGGCCTGATTGCCTAAACCTTCTTTGCCATGGCTGTTGTGGCTCAGTTGGTTGGGAATTGAAACCTCGGTGCACTGGAGGACTGTTAATTCCCAGTCAGGGTACATGCCCCAATTGCGGGCATCCCCCTTAGGGGGCAAGCAGGGGGCCAGACAATCTATGTTTCATTCTCACCCTCTCCCTCTCCCTCTCTAAAAGTCAATTCAAAAATAAAGAACCAACATTGTGACTCGAGGGTTAGAACTTTCAGTCCTACCTCCCTGACTTCAAAGGAGGGGATAGGGGCTGGAGGTTGAAACTGTCTCCAATCATGCTTAGGGAATGAATCACCATCAAAACCCAAAAGAATGGAGCTCAGAGAGCTTCTGGGTTGGTGAACATGTGGAGATTCTGGGAGAGTGGTGTGCTTAGAAAGAACATGGAATCTCTGAACCCTTTCCCCATACCTTGTCCTATGCAGCTCTTCCATCTAGCTGTTCCTGAGTTACAGTAAACCCTCGATTTTTCGGACCTCGATTTAACAGATTTTAGATTTAAGGGACTAAATTTCAGGTCCATATGTCATATGTGAAAATTAGCAGCCTGTTAATTTTAAAGTGCTTTTAACCAAGATTTGCTTATAATTATATTAACAGGTTATTTTGTTGTTAGTAATTTACTGTTATTTTAAACAAATTTTAGCAAATAGACCATATGTTGGAAAAAACCACTGTAGTAATTTTGCTGCCATAAATAAATATTATATATCTACAATTATAGTCTACATATTTAAATCCAAGAGTCACCGCTTGTAAACAATGTTTGGGGAATGATTAGCATTCCCCATAGTGATCACACCGCAACTTAAACGATAATTGGTTCTGGTTCTGTTATCTGTGATATGACTTTCTGCAGCAGTTTTGTTTTGTTGTTGTTAATCCTCACCTTAGGGTATCACAACTGATTTTTTATTTTTATTTTCTTAGAGAGAGTGGAAGGGAAGGGACGGGGGACAGAGACATCTGTGTGAGAGGAACACATCAATTGGTTGCCTTCCATACATGCCTGGCTCTGCAGCAGGTTTAATGTCCGATGTTCCAACTTGAGTTAAGCCCTAGTATGTGCAGTTGTTTACTAGCAGTGACTGTTGAATGCACACATTTACTAGACCTATTCAGTATAAATTTAAAATTACAGTCATACATACAGCAAACCTTTCTGTGAAATTAAACTTTTCATACATATTTAATTTTAATTACACAAACGTGTCTACATAAGTAAAAACAGGTAAACTAACATTTGTCAATTTTTTAACACATGCATTCGGAAAACCTACTTTATTATATAACAGACTTTTGCCTTTAATGGACACCCCCAGTAAGAACCATGTTTCCCTGAATCCTGTGAGCTGCTCTAGAAAATTAATTGAACTCAAGAAGGGGAATCATGGGAACCCTCTGATTTATAGTTAGTTGTTCAGAAGTACAGATGACGACCTGAACTCAGCAGTTGGTGTCTGAAGGGGGGCACGTACATGACAGTTTTGTAGGACTGAGCCCTTAACCTGTGGGATCTGATGTTATCTCCAGGTAGATATTGTCAGAATCGAGTTGAATTATAGGACAGCCAGTTGTTGCAAAATTGCCTGGTTAGGTGAGAACACATCCTACATCCAACACCTCCCCCATCCCCAGGTGGAATGTGATGCAGAATTGTGTATTCACTAAATTTTCAGCTAATGGTTTAGCATTGGGTGAATTCTTGAATTGGTGTTAATTTGGTATTAATTTACCTTTTTTCTCTTTTCCTAGGAATCCATACCTGTTTTGTATGTAAACAGAGTGGGGAAGATGTTAAAAGATGCCTTCTGCCATTGTGTGGAAAGTTTTATCATGAAGAGTGTGTCCAAAAGTACCCACCCACTGTCATGCAGAACAAGGGCTTTCGGTGCTCCCTCCACATCTGTATAACCTGCCATGCTGCTAATCCAGCCAGTGTTTCTGCATCTAAAGGTATGGGTTGTGAACCAATCTAATTGTAAAATCTCAATTTCATTGGCAATGGATGTTTCCAGATGCCACATGGCATGTCGCTTCATGACCTAACTTTTGTCAGAGTACCAGTATTTTATGTGAGAGACAAGAGAGTAATGGATTAGTTAAATAGCCATCACATTGTATTCTATGGAGTGCTAACATTATGTGGTTGTTTTAAATATTGGATTTTGTGTCTTCATCCCCTTACCTACTCCATTAGACCATAGTCTATTCTCCTGAGGACCCTTTATATCTGCACTTGTCAGATGTGATATCATTTAGACATGCATGTAGGTCAGAATTGAGGTTTTTGTTTTGTGTTGATTTGCTTTTGTTTTTTTAATGGGAACACCTATCTTGAAAGCCTTTTTCTGCTTCATAGGTGGAAAACTGAGGTTTCTAAAACTATATGTGGATATATATAACGCAAGAGTTTTTTTTTTTATTGATTTCAGAGAGGAAGGGAGAGGGAGAGAGAGGGAGAAACATTAATGATGAGAGAGAATCACTGATCAGCTTCCTCCTGCACGCCCCCTACTAGGGATCGAGCCCACAACCCAAGCATGTGCTCTTGACCAGAATCAAACCCAGAACCCTTCAGTCTCTAGGCTGACGCTCTATCCACTGAGCAAAACTGGCTAGGGTTTGTTTTGTTTTTGTTAATCCTCACTAGAGGATATTTTTCCCATTAATTTTTTTTTTTTTTAAGGAGTGGAAGGGAGGGGAACAGAGAGAGAGAAACGCCAGTGTGAGAGAGACACACTGATTGGTTGCCTTCTGTACCCGTCCTGACCAGGGCCTGGATCGAATCCACAACCAAGATATATGCCCTTTACTGAGAATGGAACCCTACATTCCTTCAGTCTGAGAGCTGATGCTCTAAGCACTGAACAAACCAGCCAGGGCGATAACTCAAGTTTTTAAATCTGTTCCTACTGGGAAAACAATCATTTGTTTCTGTTCAGTAATAGTGGGTCTCTTACTGGTTGTCTTTTGTTGTTGTTGTTGTTGTTAATCCTCACCCGAGAATATTTTTCCCATTGAGTTTTAGAAAGAGTAGTGGAAGGGGGAGAAAAAGACTGAAAGACACATCCAATGGTTGCCTCCTGCAGGGGAACTAGGTTCAATTTCAGGTACCTTGGTTGCACACTGGCCAGGGCAGTATTGCCTTTTTAAAAAAAAATCAATCTTTTAAGCAGACTGGCAATACCTTTGGTAAGTTGATTTCCAGGCCCTGTAGATCTCATTAGTCTTAAGCATAATAATTTAACTTGCTTGATCAAATTTGCAGTTTAACCATCAGGTACCTTCCTGTTTTCAGTTGTTATTGTAGATTACATTTACGTGGTTTGGTAATGGTTTTTAGTTGGTGAAGTATTTAGAGGATATAGTTCATCTAGAAGGGATGGAGGAGTTCATTCAAGAATCACAGCACCAGGTAACAAAAGTAAGCAAGAGCCTTCCTGCCAGCTGTCCTTTTATTCTGATAGTTCACATCCCCACGTCCCATTTAGTTTGCTGGCGATTTCAGGTTTCCTAGGAGTCAGGGCAGTGGTTTGCAAAGGGCTTTCCTTGGTGAGGCAGGCTCACTTACAGTTGTGGGATCTGACTCCTTATGTTGAAGTCACATAGCTCCCACCTGAGCTTTTCTTAGTGAATTGGTTGTTAAAGATCACCTGCCCTAGTAGTGCTTGCTTTTATCTGTGACATTTTCTCAGTTCTAGCAAATAATCTTCAATAACGCACATTTTAAGTATTTACTCTCTTCATGTGTTTTTTTTGCTCTTCCCTTATTTTCTTGATTCTCATGGTTTTAGGTCGTCTGATGCGATGTGTCCGCTGCCCTGTGGCATACCATGCCAATGACTTTTGTCTGGCTGCTGGGTCAAAAATACTTGCTTCTAATAGTATCATCTGCCCAAATCACTTTACACCCAGGCGAGGCTGCCGAAATCATGAGCATGTTAACGTTAGTTGGTGTTTTGTATGCTCAGAAGGTAAGACATAATTTCTTGATGTATGAATAGTCTAAAAAGAGATTAGTACTGTGTGTGTGTGTGTGTGTGTGTGTGTGTGTGTGTGTGTGGTGTGTGTGTGTGTGTGTGTGTATACATACACACTTTTAAATCCTCAACAGAAGATATGTTTGCACTGATTTGAGAAAAAGAGGAAGGTGGGGAGTTGGGGGAAAGAGAGAAACACCAATGTGAGAGAGAAACATCAATTGCTTCCTATACACTCCCCAGCTAGGAATCAAACCCAAAACTTAGGTATGTGTCCTGACCAGAAATCTGACCCACAGCCTTTTTGTTTATGGGATGATGCTCCACCCAACTGAGCCACTCAGCCATGGCAGATTAATATAATACTTTAATTGCAACAAAAAACTTTCTTCATATCACCACTACAAGAAATATTGGGAATTGATGTCCTGAATTAGTGATAACATAGCAAAACTTTCACACTTGGTTTTATTCCCCCTTAAGGAGAGGTTTTGTTTTTATTTTGAATAATGACTTGATTTTTATCAAAATGTTAAAAAATTTAAGCACTAAAGAAAAAGACAGGAAAAAGGAGACAGAATCACCCTTGGGAAATGAGGTGATGTCATATGGTACAAACTTCTAATTATACTACGAATAATTTGGGGAGATATAATGAACAGCTTGGTGACTATAGTTAACAATACGGTATTATATATTTGAAAGTTAAGATAATAGATCTTAAAAGTTCTCACCACCAAAAAATAAGAAATTGTAACTGTGATGGATGTGTTACCTAATCTTATTGTGGTAATCTTTTCACAATATATACATATATCAGGTCATTATGCTGTATACTTTAAACTTATTCAATCTTATATGTAAACTGTATCTCAGTAAAGCTGGAAAATGAAGAAGAGAAAAAGAAAAAAGAATGAGCGAACAATCCCCAAATCATCTGAGTCTCACCATCAGAAAAAAAAATTGTTTAATATTAAGTGATATTACTCCAGATATGTGTATATAACTCAATAGAAGCAATTCTAAAAGATGATATCATGGTATAATTGTGTGTTTTTTAAAATTTTACATGAATTTAAATGGAAGAAACAAAGGGAAAGTGGAGAAATTTATGAATTTCCTTACTATTAGGGATATTAATATGTTACTATAAGGTCTTATAAAGTGGAGGAAAAACTAATTTTGTATCTTTTTATATATAATCAATTTAAAAATATTTCTCGCCGAAACCGGTTTGGCTCAGTGGATAGAGCGTCGGCCTGCGGACTGAAAGGTCCCAGGTTCGACTCCGGTCAAGGGCATGTACCTTGGTTGCGGGCACATCCCCAATGGGAGATGTGCAGGAGGCAGCTGATCGATGTCTCTCTCTCATCGATGTTTCTAACTATCTCTCTCCCTTCCTCTCTGTAAAAAATCAATAAAATATATTTTAAAAAAAATAAAAATATTTCTCTTCTAGAACAGAGTCAATATTATCCTTATACAGTTTCTTTTTCTGATTTTTGCTAGTTAAGTGGAGGATTTAGTATTCATTGCTGGTCCACTTACTGTAGTGATTATTGTTCTGAATTTTTCTCTTGATTTTCTGATTGTCTAAGAAGCACCCACAGGTGCTATACTTCTCTACTTGAGGCTGTTTGGTATTTACCTGTGTACTAGAAGCACATTTTGGGTTACTTTACCTTTGTACTAGAAGCACATGCTGGCTTATCCTTCCTTATCGAATAAAAGAGAAACATGGTAATTGGCGTACGACCGCTACCCTTCCCATTGGCTAATCAGTGAGATATGCAAATTAACTGCTAGCCAAGATGGTGGCCGGCAGCCAGGCAGCTTAAAGCGAACATGAATGAGGCTTGCTTGCTTCAGTGACGATGGACTCCAACGTTCCCCGCCTGCCTTGCCGGCCTCTGAGCTGGCAGTTTGAAACATTGTTACAAATATAGAAGCTAAGCAAAACTCCAGAAACCTGCTTTCAGCCCACCAGGATCTCAGAGCTGGAGTTGATACAGTGTTTTGATTATAGAACCCAAACAAACCAGATACCTGCTTTCAGCAGCTGA